TCTCTCTATCTAATATATATATATATAATACCGAGATATATATATATGCATGCTTACTTCTTGGGATTTTAGATGCCTTGATGGGCAGAAGACTTCTTACATATTGTCTTATTGGTGACACCTAGCAAAATATTTAATTTCTTAGAAGCTACGATAGTCTCGAACAGAATGTCTGGTTTCCACTGACCGGCCGTGACATGTCTAGTATGCGATGGACGTAGGCTGTGGGTAGCATAAGTGCATGTCGGACAGTGCTTCATGACTCATGCTACGAGCGGGGCTGCACGCGGTGTAGTATCACCTGAACCACGATAAGGTTTTGCCTTGAGTGGCTCAGCCTGGTGGTCACACCTCATGGAAACAAATATTTTCAAACCGCCTATCGCAGTTTTATGTAGTTTCAAACAAAAACAACAGCAAAAAAACGTTTTTCGAACTTAAGCTTTGCAGGCATTTGCCGATGAGATGTATGATCACACGTGATTTTCTTGCAATGATGCAACGTGAGCAGACATAGCCTGCCCGTTCGATGAAGATTGTAAACGTCCAAGTTTCAACATTATCACAGAACTGAAGACCAAATGCGTAATTATGTTCCGACATCCACAACCTGGTGTCGCAGTAACACGAGTCCAACTAATTTAGGGGGGGGGAGAACGACGATTGTTTTGGGAGAAGCGTGGGCGTTTTGTACAATGGGGCGCGCGCTCTCAGGAAATGCGCGTGCACTCCGTACAATAGATGCATCCTGTTTAGAACATCGATAAGGACTGATTTCAAGTTTCGATGGTCATAACACAATAAAGCATAAGACCAAGTGCACGATGTTGTCAAGTGCACCCTTTACAGGTCACAAAGCGAACTCATCACTTCCGAGCCTTAGGTGACGTCAGCAATCGACTCGCAAGCGACTAACGCCTCTTTATCCGAAGCCAGGCCTCCGGTGCAGCGCAATGTGTTGAGGCCGCACAAACTGCACGGGCCATTGATGCAGTGTAGCGCGGCTAACGTCCTCGCAAAATAGTTCCGTAAGTTTTTGGCAGTGCTTTGTCACAGTGACAGAAGATGTAAATAATTCCCAAGCTATCGTTCCATTGGTAAATATTGGCATTTGTTCTTAGGCGTAATGTCGCGCAGTTTTCAAGCCGTGCTATTTGTAGACTTGTGCGCGACCGCAAGACATCGACGTATAGGGTAGACAGAAAAAAACATATCCTTAAATATCACATATCACATACAAGATATCACATATCACATAGGGAGTGAGCACGCCCTTTCGGCTCATTACACGAACTCCGACATGGGTCTCTAGCCATAGCCATGATCGTAATATGACGATCATCTTTGGCGTGTGCTGGATCGTTCCGTCCTGCTGGGCCCCAGGGTCTCGCTCCAGCTGTCTCCAGGCGTGTCCCAGCATGCCGATGTACCGATCTTTCCTGAACGAGGCCGTGAATCTGACTGCATATTGAAAGATAAGGATGCAATGCGGTCGCTTGAACTCATGGCGCACCGTGCTATCACCTTTCGGCTCTGCAAAGGACTCTTCAACATGGCGTGGGGCAGCTCCGAGGCCCAAATCCAGCAGCTTTGGGTGTCTGCTGCCCCATGTATATGGAACTGGGCTTCGTCGCTGAAACAGACGTGGTTTAAAACCCGGCATTGTCTTCGCCCTCGGTCTTCAGCCAGGTGGGAAATGTCATGCGCTGTTTTTTTAATCGGCTTCTAGTAGCTTCTGGCGAGCTATTACTTTGGAGGAAATAGCTCCAGGCCATTTTGCATGACCTACCTGCGGTTATGTGACTGATGCCGA